GGGTTCCAAAAAGGCTGGGGGAACACATGGTCCGAAACGACGCAGAGTCTTGGCCTGTTTTCGGCCCCTTGGGGCCGTCGCCAGGCCGCGGGACTTTCAAAAAGCTACCTGAGATGAGACAACGGGCCATGGGGAGAGGGTCGGAACGTCCGAGGACCTCGCATTGAAAACCAAAACAAAACCACAGGAAGAGAGCTATGCCCACGCACTGGTCCTGGCCAGGCCCATCCTGGGGTCAGGAGTGGTGTATACGCGCAGCTGACAATGCCAGAAATCTACAATATATAAACGTTGTTCGGAGCGGTGGGTACAATGCCAACGTGCGTAAAACCGTCGTGCGTTGTACTTGCAGGCATCGTGGACAACATCTCAGTACACCGAATTACACCACACCACTTCACGACCTCCGGAATATACTCCGCTCCTGGGCCCGGGATGGGCCTGGCCAGAGGCGGTGGATACGTATAGGTCCCGCCGCCCAACCAGGGGGAGCCGAGCGTCCCTCCCCGCACCCGTCGGGAGTTGAGGGAACAGAGGGGGGCCAGGAAATCGAGGCACATCCTGGGCCCGGGAAGTACACGCGCCCGCGGCATGGGCAGGCAGACATGTACACCGCCTTTGGGCCCGGGATGGACACAGTTTTGATCTGCGGGGCGAGCGCGAACCTCTTCCGCTAAAAGCTAGGCGGGCTACGCACAGCTTGAATTAGGGAGACAGGGTACAGGAAGGCGGGGCCTCAGGCGGCCAGAGTGGGCGAAGCCCAGGGGTGCAGGCGGTAAACCTGGGATGGACACAGGCGCCCCGCGCTTGGCTGAGTTCCCAGAACATTCGCCTGGTGCCGCCCGTGGGTGCCCCGTGGGCTTCCTGCGCGCTTATAACAACATAGCTGGCGCCTCACACCACACAGCATACACAACATGACTTGCACTCCACGTAGTACACAACATCGCTGTCGCCACGTAACTCACACCACGTAGAGCACACGGCATCGTTTACATCAACTAAGTCACACCACATAGACTACACAGCATACTCTACACCGCGTAAAGTACACAACATAGCCCACACCAAACATTTGAAATCACGCAGAATATTCAACATAATGCACACCACATATCATCCACCATATAGCGTGCACCACATAGCCCAAACCGCAAAGCTTACACAAAAAATGTTGGCGATCGTGGACCCAAAACATTACGTTTCTAACAGTATGTGCGGCGTTTCCATGTAGGACCATATGCGTGAGGGAATCTATGTGGTGCAGCATATGTGGTGCAATATATGTGGTGCAACCCACTTTGACCGTCTTGAAGCTGTCCTCTGTACTGCTCGTGCAAACATCCCACCCTCCCACCCGCAACTTGGTCGCAAGACTTCTTAAGACAAGACCGTGACGGTAGGTACCACATGGCACTTGGCCACGACACCGACGCCGACGACGACAGCGACAACGAAGACGACGGCGCCGCAGACACCGACTACGACGACACCGCCGACGTCGACGTCGACG